CTGTTCTGTAATCAAATCTTTCTTGAATATTTCCCTCAGGTTGGGTATGAGATTGATATATTCTCTGAATCCTTCAGATCTCCAAATATCTTTCTTTTGCCCTGACAGGTGAAGGTTTTCCCAGCTGGGGATGAGATTCCTGCATAGCCATCCTTTTCTCTTAGTTTTCCCACTTTTGACTTCCAATGTTGCAGACAAAAGTCCTGTGCCAATCTGATTCATTTCCTTTTGTATTAATAGATAACTTGCTCTTTCTGCCTAGAAACTTGAAAATGCTTTTCTTTAACCTCGGAATTTAGGAGTTTCATGTCTTTCCTTGTTGTATCTTCCTGTTCCCTTTCAGTCTGCAAGCTCAGATCTTTCTTCAGGTCAGCAAAATATTCTTCTATTCTTTAATTATTTCCTCTCCTCCATCTATTCCTTTCCTCCTTTTGGAACTAGTGTATTTGAATGTTGGGACTACTGGATCTATTCTCCAAGTCTCATATTTTCCTCATTATTTCCATCTCTTCATAGTATTTGCTCTGTGCTTTTTAAAATATTGTTTCCACTTGTTCTTCCAAGCCACTAATTTGAGTCTCAGCTGTGACCATTCTCTCTTTCAATACATACACTGATTTTTAGTTGCTGTTGTTTAAAATAATGTATTTTAGTTCCACAAAAATTTGGGGGATTTTTTTTGTTTTTGGCACACTACTTGACTCTTTAAGTGCTAATAGTTTCCTAAGTTGTCATATACCTCTTCCAGTGGTTACTGTGCTTTCTGGTGGCCAGGGAAACCAGCTATAATAACCTCATCCCTACAAGGCCAAGCTCTGTGAGTCATACTCTTCCGCTTTTCCCATGGTCCTGATCTCTGCTCAGAGGCTCTCTCCAAAGCTGGTCTGCATGGTGCAAGAGTGAGGAAGCTCCTCGCCAAGGCTACACACCAGGTCTTCTCCCCCCTTAACCTTAAGTTCAAGTCTTCACTTGGCACCCTGTCCACTGGCCCTAGCAGCAACATGGCTAAGTAGATGCAGGTGCTTGGAGATGGGAGTGGAAGAGTGGAAATTTCCTCAGAACAGTAGTTCTCAAACTTGGGCATGCATTAGAACCACCTCCAGGGTTTGTTAATACAGAGTTTCTGATTTATTATGTCTGAAGTGAGGCCTGAGAATTTGCATTCCTAACAAGTTTCCATGGCAAGCCCATGTTACTAATCTAGGAACCACACTTTGAGAACCACTGCTTTAGAATACACCAAACCAAGTCTTCCTTCTTTTCCACCCTCTTCCTCTTCAAAATTATACTTTTTTTTTTTGAGATGGGATCTTGCTATGTTGCCCAGGCAGGTCTCCAACTCCTGGGCTCAAGCTCTCCTCCCACCTCAGATTCTGAGTAACTGAGATAACAGTTATGCAAGCCACACCAGCCTATCCTTTTTTTTAATGGTATGGAAATTAACCCAATGTCAGGTACCTATCGTCCCCCGGTTTATGTTTGGCTCTCCAGCTAGTTCCTAGTGCTGGGTCTGTGCACACGCAGGCTCCATCCAAGGCCCCTCGTCCACCCAGGCCCTCGCAGGTGCTGCCCTGACAGGCCCCGGCCCTCAGTCTGAGGAATGGGCGCAGGCAGAGGGCCAAAGGCTCTCAGGGCAGGCCCTCAGTTAGGCCCAGTTGCTGTACAGGTGAGTCAGACCAGAAAGCGCCACCTTTGTGCGGCCTCAGGACCTCTTCCCCCTTTAGGCGCCCTTGTGTTATTACCCTTGTGCCCACAAGACGGCTGCCACTGCCGTGGCCCCACTCCAGGACCCTCAGGGGTCGTGAAGCAGGTGGCGGCTCTCACTCCTGCAGAGTGATGTGGGGCACCTGCAGTGGGGGTGGGCTTGCGAGGGTGGTGTGTGGGGGTCTGGGGCCACCCTCTGGACTCTCCTTCCCGTCTGAGGTCTGCGAGCCTTGCCCCATCTGTGTCCTCCAACCGCCTCCCCTTAACCCCTTTGATTTTGTCCAGTCTTTTCTCTAAATCGCCGTGCCGGAACCCTGTGTACCACCCACTCCACTGTCGGTGGCCCCCTCCCGAAGCCGCGCTGGGCCGGTGGTCAGTGACCTCCGCACCACCCCCACGCCCCACTGTTTGGCGCTCGCTCCTCCGTGCTCCACTCTTTGGAGCCCGCTTGCACAGCAAGCGCTCCCCTGCCCCGGGACACAGACCCGAGTGGGCATTTTGGCAATGTCCAGTGCTCCTACTGTTCTCTGGAGGATTTCCTTTCCGCTCTCCAGAAGAACTATTGCATTCTTCTCTCTGCTCCCATCTTCCATCTCCAAGCCCGCAGGTCCCATCAGCTCTCCTTTACTGCAGTTCCTTCCCATTGGCTGGAGGAAGAGCCCTCCTCACATCAACGGCCATTCCCTGTCCTCACACCATCTCCTGAAGTCACCCCTCCGTGCCAGGCGCCACCCCTCCGCTTTCCTGTCTACCCAACTGCGCCAACAGCATCCCGACCTGCCCTTCCACTATCCCGCCTCGCTGTCTTTCCTTCTCTTCACAGCCTCATCACGCTTCTGTCTCACTTCTCAGCATCCTGTCATAGCCACACTTCTTGAAAGTTGTCTGTGCTCACTGTGGAGGTTTCTCACCTGGCCTTTGCTGGCGCGTTGATTGGGGGTCGACAAAGGGGCCTCTCATCTGTTAGCGTGGGTTATTCATGCGCTCCAGCCCCCGTTCCTGCCTGTCATTTCTCTCCTCATCCTAGGACTCACTCTAGCACATGATGAGTCTGTATGTAGTCTTGAAAAATACCGTGTTTTACTATTCCTTTGTATTTATATAAATTAATTTATGCTATAATTCTCATCCCATTTCATTCGTCACTTTCAAAAGGCATGTCAATGGTGCTATAGGTAAATTTAGCTCGTTTCTGTTGATTCTTGTCTGGTGTTCCATCATATGCACACACCACATTTTATATGTGCCTTCATTTAGTAGTGGACATGCAATGTGGGCCTGCAGGGATAAGGGTTCTCTGTGGGATTTCCCAGAGGCTGGTTCTTAAGTATACTTAATTTCACAAGAACTGCCAGATAGTCTCCAAAATGGCTAAACCTGGAACCATTTGTATTCCCACCCTAAGTGCATGCATGAAGTTCCTGTTGCCTCATATTCTCAGAGCTTGAGGTATCTAATTTGCTTTGCATAGAAACAGCCAGTTGTTCCACCACCATTTGTTGAAAAGACTATCCTTTTGCCACTGAATTGCCATTGCATCTATTTTAAAAATCAATTGATCAGGCCAGGCATGGTGGTTCACGCCTGTAATCCTAGCACTCTGGAAGGCTGAGGTGGGAGGATCGCTCAAGGTCAGGAGTTTGAAACCAGCCTGAGCAAGAGCCAGACCCCGTCTCTACTAAAAATAGAAAGAAATTAATTGTATTCTGCTCAATGACTGAGCTGAAAAAAAAAAAAAAAAGAAATTAATTGGACAACTAAAAATATATACAAAAAATTAGCCAGGCATGGTGGTGCATGCCTGTAGTCCCAGCTACTCTGTAGGCTGAAGCAGGAGGATTGCTTGAGCCCAGGAGTTTGAGGTTGCTGTGAGCTAGGCTGATGCCATGGCACTCTACCCCAGGTAACAGAGTAAGACTCTGTCTCAAAAATAATAATAAATAAATTGATCAGCTACTTTGTGTGGCTTGAGGAGAGAACATCCCTTGAGGCCAGGAGTTTGAGACCCACCTGGGCAACATAATGAGACCTGGTCTCAAAAACAAAAATCAGTTGATTTTATATGTCTGGATCTAATTTTGGACTCTCATTTCTGTTCCATTGATGTATTTGTCTATTATTATGCTAATGCCATATTGTTTTGGTTATCATATCTTTCTATTAAGTCTCAAAATCAAGTAGTGTAAGTTCTCCAACTTTTTTTCTTTTTTCAAAGTTAGGTTGGCTATTCTAAATTATTTGCATTTCCATATGAATTTTAGAATCAACATGTCAATTTCTACAAAAACCATGCTGAGATTTTGATAGAGATTACATTGAATACATAGACCAGTTTGGGGAGAATTGACATCTTAGCAATCCATAAGCATGATATATTTTCTCCATTTAGTTCTTATTTAATTTCTCCTAGTAGTGCTTTTAGTTTTCAGGGTATGAGACTTACACATCTTTCATCAGAGTTGTCCCTAAATATTTTATAGTTTTTGATAATATTGTAAGTGGTATTGTTTTTAAATTTAATTTCCAATAGTTTATTGCTAGTATATAAAAATACAATTGATTTATGGATGATTTTATATCTTACAACCTGTTAAACTAGTTCTAGTAGCTTTTTTTTGTAGATTCATTAGAATTTTCTAGAAAATGATCATATCATCTGACAATAAAGACAATTTTACTTGTTCCTTTTCAATCTTTACATATTTTATTTCCTTTTTCTGTTTCATTGCCTGGCTAGAACCTTTAGCACAATGGTAAATAGGAGGAAAGAATGTGGACCTCCTTGCCTTGTTCCTGCTCTTAGGCAAGATGTTTTATATATATTTATACATATATAACTTTGCATATCTATATATATTTTCATATGTATCAACTTTATTCCAATAAAATTCACATACTGTACAACTCACAAGGTTATGGAGGTCAAGAATTCCCATGATGTCATCCACAAGCTGGAGAATCAGGAAAGGCAGTGGGACAATTCAGAGTCCAAGGGCATGAGAACCAGGGCAGCCAATGGTATAACTCCCAGTCTGAGGCCAAAGGCCTGAGAACCAGGGGTAAGGAATGGTATGATCCCAGAGTCCAAAAGCCCAAGAACCAGGAGCTCCAACATCGGAGGGCAGGGGAAGTTGGATGTCCCAGCTCAAGAAGAGAGAGAAGTTGCCTTTCCTCTGCCTTTTTGTTCTATTGAGCCCTCAACACTGGAAGATGCCTGCCCACATTGGTGAGGGTAAATCTTCTTTACTCGGTCTACTGATTCAAATGTTAATCTCTTCCAGAAACACCGTCACAGACATACCCAGAAATGATGTTTTACCAGCTATCTGGCTCAGGTAAGTTGCCACATGAAAGAGAGAAGACACAAATCACCAATGTCAGGAATGAGAAAAGTGACAATACTACAATACTAGAGTCAATGGATAATTAAAGAATACTAAGGAAACAAGTTCCTGTTAATAAATCCCACAACTTAGATGAAATAGACAAATTTCTTAAAAGACAAAGTTTACTCAAGAAGAAATAGACCTGAATTGTCCTTATCTATTAAAGACACTGAATTCATAGTTTAAAAATCTTCCCCCAAAGAAAATCCCAGTGTCAAATACCTGGTGTACATAATCCTCAAGTCTGTCTACACTGGCAGAAGGGGACACCACCTCCACTTGACATTAAAAATACTTAAACCCCTGAGCTAACTTTAAAATGTATGTTGTTATAAGAAAGCTAAAAATAGCATGCTACAAATTAAGGAAATATGCAAGCTAATTATGTTGGCACTAGAGAATTTGCTAAAAATGAACTCCAAGAATATTTTCAAAACTAGGCCATCATACTGACTGGATCCCTCTAACATGTGGAAACTGGATCTCAAGAGCTGACAAAATATCAGTCTAGAAAAGAAAGCGTAGATTTATTGCATTCGTTGGGAGAAAATTAGAGAAATGGTAGTTTGTACAAACAAATGGTTTTCCTCTTTAGAGTAAAATGCATCTTCCACTTAAGAGACAGACACTTTTGTGACTTTGTCAAGAACCTTAGCCCTGCCCAGCCTCAGCTGCCTTACTTGTAAAATACAGCTTGAAAAAGCTGCCCAAAGGCCAAGGTTATGACAGGTGAGTACTTATAAGGGTCTTTCAACCTCATGAGTTATAATTCTATGAAACTTGTAATGCTGATGCTAAATCATGAGTTGTAAAAACATTGCCATCTTTATACAAAACTCCAACATTTTCCACTTAACATTAAAACTCTCTAAAAATTAGGGTGTGTCAATTAAGCACCCCAACTCTGGACCTCATTCCCTCACCTACACTCCCTAGGTTATCATCCATTCTCTCTACTCCCCTCGGCTAGTCCCAGGGGAACGTCACTTTGTGTGTGATTTGTGTCTTCTCTCTTTTTTGCCTGTTCATTTTAGTTAGGTTTATTGCTGTGGTAGTTGATTTTGCATGGCAACTTGCCTGAGCCAGATAGCTGGTAAAACGTCCTTTCTGGGTATCCTTTGAAAGCTCTGGCCCTTAGCACAACTAAGATAGGTCAGGAGATCCATAAGGATGTAAGTTTATGTTTTAAAAGAACTGAACATACCCGGTAGCAATGACCACACCTGGTGCCTAGGTTGTGGTTTCTAAATACTATTCTCTACTAAAAGGAATCAGAGCTCCTTGAAGAGATGGTTGGTTTCAATACCAACCAGAGAAAGGGCAAGACAAGCCTGGAACATTTTTGTTGTGCCAAGAAATAAGGAAGTGCCAAAAAAAAAGAGGGGAAAGTCATGTCAAAAGGACATGGAAGGCTGGGTGCGGTGGCTCACGCCTGTAATCCCAGCATTCTGGGAGGCCAAGGCAGGAGGATCACTTGAGCCCAGGAGTTTGAGGTTGCTGTGAGCTAGGCGGACGCCACGGCACTCACTCTACCCCCAGCAACAAAGCGAGACTCTGTCTCAGAAAAAAAAAGAAAAACAGGACATGGAAGCCAGATTATTAATAAAAGGTCAGAACTCGGACCATTTAAATTTTAAAATAATCAAGGACAGAAATGAATTATAACCTCTTGAATAAAACAAGGGTCCATATTGATAATAAATATGAATGAATAAGGAGAAGGGGCAGCTGTTTTATAGTTTAATGCCAAAAGACAAAAGTGGAGGGAATGCTGGAGTCAGAAGAAGTCTTTTTGCAACCATTGTGATAAATTTTGGCTTGGGCAAGAATCTTGAGTGGATACTAAGTCGAGGTGGGGAAAAATGAAGAGGAGCAGGATTATTTGCATAATTTCAAACTGTCTGCTCATGGATTACTTATTAGTTGCAAGGGGGAACATAGTAACTATATATTGTGGAGAGAACACACAAAACCTTAACCAATTTTGACCTTGATCAAATTAATACCACTAATAAGGAGCAGATAGACATTATAGGTGTTGGGATGTGCTTCCCCTTAAAAGAACACAACATGACTTATGTCACTTACCAGCCCAGAATGCATGAGGAAACACCAGGAATTGATGAACAATTTATAAAATAATTGGCCTGTATTTTTCAAAATGTCAATGTCATTAATGACAAGGAAAGGCTGAGGAACTATTTTAGATTAAAGAAGATAAAGAAACATGACAACAAAATGCAATACATGATCCTGAACTGGGTACTGTAGGAAGAAAATCCTACAAAGGCATTATTGGGACAATTGGCAATTTTGGGATATGGACTTTATAGTGTCAATGTTAAATTTTCTGAATTTGATAATTGTGCCATGATTAAGAGAATATTCTTGTTCTTGGGAAATATGCATTACATACAGTGTTAGGAGATAAAGGGAGATAATATATACAACTAACTTTCAAATGGTTCAGAAACAATAAATTAATATGTGCATATGTAGAAAAAATGATAACGCAATTTTGTCAAAACATGAAGAATTGATAAATTTGTGGGGCCAGGCGTGGTAGCTCACACCTGTAATCCTAGCACTCTGGGAGGCTGAGGCGGGAGGATCACTTGAGTTCAGGAGTTCAAGACCAGTCTGAGCAAGAGTGGGTACTGTAGGGGGAAAATGCCCATCTCTATAAAGATCCCATCTCTATAAAAAGGAAAAAAATTTTTTTAATTGATAAATTTGCATAAAGAGTATATGGGAGGTCTCTATTCTTACAACTCTTCTACAAGTTTGAAATTATTTCAAAGTAAAAAGACTTTTAATTTTTTAGAGACAGGGTCGTTGTCACCACACCAGGCTAATGGTTTTTTTTAGAGATGGGGGTCCTGCTATGTTGCCTAGGCTGGTCTTGAACTCCTGGCCTCAACTGATCCTCCTCCCTGGCCTCCCAAAGTGCTGGGATTACAGGCATGAACCACCACACCTGGCCCTAAAAATATTTTTTAAAGGTACATAAATAGAAGACAAATAGCCAAATGAGAATGGAAGGTGTATAGGAACAGTTTAGGCATCTAGTCAAATTCCAACTTCATAGTACTTTTTCACCTACTTTCCTAAAAAGCCTCTTACCCTCAACCTCAGAGAGCTGCCACATGTCATAGATACCCCACCCAGCTTCTTCGCTTCCCAGCCCCTGATTACCTCCCTGTGAAGGGCACCATCTTCCTTCCTCAGCCAAGAGGAGGCTGGCCTCTGAGATACTTTGACTCCTTTGCTCTTTTCTTTTTTTTGCTCAGTCATAACACAGCTTCTGTTTTTTGTTTTTTGTTTTTTTTTTTAACGTGGTGTTTGTTTTGTTTTGTTTGAGACAGGGTTTCCCTCTGCCACCTGGGCTAGAGTGCAGTGGCGTCATGGCTCACTGCAGCCTCAAAATCCCAGGCTCAAGCAATCCTTCTGCCTCAGCCTTCCAAAGTGCTAGGACTATAGGTGTGAGCCACCACAGCTGGCCTTCTTTGTGCTTAAAACCAAAACACCCTTTCCAACATTGCCACCTATCCAGGTGTTCCCAATGTTTTTGTTCTCCCATTTGATGGAAATGTGATTTCCCCAGGCCAGAGGTAAGATAGGTGACTAAACCTGGGAATGGCCTCATCCTTCCTGCAAGCAGTAGATCCACAGCATACGGTTAATAAAACAGCCCTAACTCCCACACCTGTGAATTAGATACACCTGCCAACAGAAGCCGGTTAGCTCCATGGTTAAAAGCCAGAAACATGGTCTGAGTTTCGTTTCTGGCTCTACTGCCTAAAAGTTGTGTGACTGAGAGCAAGACAACTAGTTCCTGGAGCTCGTTAATCATTCACTCAACAATAGTTCCCACCTAATAAGTAGCAGACACTATTTTAGGAGGTAGTAATACAAAATCTCTGCTCTCAGAGCTTACATTCTAGTTGGGTAAGACAGAAAATAGAAAAATAACTAAAATATGTAGTATGCCAAGTGCCTATATATGCTATGGAGAAAAACAGGGCTGATAAGGGAATAAGAAGTAGAGAAATAGGAGGTGAAAACGTAGTTTTAAATAGTCAAGGAAGGCTTCACTGAGGAGGTGACATCTGAACAAATACCTAAAGGAAAAAAAAAGGGAGCTAGCCATGTAGATGGATGAACATTGAGCAAAAGGGGACATCAGGGGCAGACACCCTGGAGTGGCAGGTCTCAGTTGAGGGATGACTGAGATGAAATCTTAAACTCTTTGAGGACAGGGGACAGAATTATACATAGTAGGAGCCCAGCGAGTGTTGACAGGAGAGAGGAAGCCAGGAGAGGGAAAGAGAGAGACTTAGTGAATCCAGAGATTTTGAGGTTGAATTTTGGGAAAGGAGGAAAAGCAACATCAGTTTTATAAATTTGGAAAAAAGAAAAAAAACAGGTGATTAACTGATTTTATGTCCTGTTCTTTTGGCCTTGTCTTAAAAGTATTTCTTAAATGGATATGATTCAAGGAATTGGGAGATTTTTGTTTTTGCTTTCTGGATTTGAGTTGAAAATAGGGATTTTTTTTCTTTTTTACTATATTAGAAACGTTTTGAAGATATATACAGAATCCTTTAAGATGAGGGTTTAGAGTTCACAGTGATATTCTCAAAACAATTTTTTTTATTTGGAAGAAATTAAAATACCATTTATAACAAGAATAACAAGTTTATAGGGGAATTACTAGTAATTTATGGATGAATGGAAAGGCTTATTTTGGTCTCAAATGGTCAAGAGAATTGAGTCTGCGATTTGGATGTTCTTTTACTATGGTTTGTACAGTCTGTATTGGCCTCTTCAAATAACTTTGGATGGTTTCTACATGACCACGTTGCTGTTTTCATAAATGGTATTTTTAGGAATTGGAAATAACAGAAAGTTCTGGTAGACTTGCCACTTGTTCTTAATAACTTGTGTAGCCAAATGCCTCTTTCCCAGAAAGTGACTGAGAAACACCACCAGCCAGGATCTTAAATGTTAAATAGATGTTTTTTTGTAAGACAGCAGCAATACCAGGGGACATAACAGTGGTTTGCTTGCTGGTTTGTTGTTGCTGCTGTTATTGTTTATTTATTTATTTATTTTTTGGCTTTTCTGTTCTTTAAATTACAGAAGAAAAACCTTTTGTCTGTGTGTGAAGATTTTTCCAGAGTGATAAGTGGATAAGGCTCTGGTCACAAGATATAATCAGTGACCACTTTGTTTCAATGTCACCAAAGTACAATTGATTTTAGAGTGACTCTACTTTTAGTCCTTTCTTTCCCACTAAAGACTGTGGGGGGAAAAATTATTCCTATATTTAGCTTCTCTTATACTTGCTTTTTTTAAAAAAAGAAATAAAGTTCTCCATTATTTCGTTGAAAGGTAATACACTTCAAAACATATCAAAATAATATATTTGAAGTTTTAACTTTATTATTTTCCTATTACAGAAGGAATGCGTATTCACTACATAACAAAAGGGAAGGAGCACAAAAGGTATAAAGGAGTCTATTCAAAAACTGCCTATTATTCTATCCCAGGGAAAACTATTAACATTTTGGCATATTTCATTTTATCAGTCTTTTCCTATGTATTTTTAAACATAGCTCAGATGGTATTATATAAAAAGTCTTATATCCAGCCTTTTAAACATACGATTGTAGTAAAGTTATTTTTCTCATACCACTAAAAATTCTCTTTATAAACATAATTTCAATGGCAGAATAACATTCTATCATATGGATATACTTAAAGATTCGCAAATAATTAGTTAGGAGAGTTAGTGGGTCAAAGCATACAGACACGGTGAAGAGCACTTTGTTTCCTAGAAGGGTTGTGTTGAGAGCACAGGGAGGAGCAGAGACTCAGTGTCAAGGCTGGCGACGAGGAGCAGAAGCTCACAGGTCCTGGCCGAGCCGCTCCAGCTCGTCCAGGAGGAAGTCCATGTCAGCAAGGGTCAGGGAAGGGTTGGCCACGACCATGCGGAAGAAGTTGCCCTGGGTCCCATGGGGCTGGTAGCCAATCATCATGGAGCCCTCCTTCACCATGCGCTCCTTCAGCACAGGGGCCACCTGTGGGAGGGTAGAGACGGATTCCAGCTGCAGCCTGGAGTCAGGGCGGGGTGGGCTGGTTTCCTGGCCTGCCGCTACCAGAGATGCTTTTATCTCCCACCCAGCCACCTTCCATTCATAGAGTTCATTGCTCAGACCCTGACCTTGGCCCAGTTTACATTTTTCCACCACATCCAACCTGCCTTTCTATCTTCTTCTCTATCTTCTACTTTATTTCCCATTTCGCCCATCTCCAAGAAATCTGTCACATGGGCCATTTTCTGCCAGATCCTGACTTTTCTCTAATTCCCAACACTGCTTTAGTCTGCCCTGAAGCCTGTCATCCTGAACACTTTCTCCTTTCTTCATTTAATTCCTATAATATTTTTGATAATATTAATCTGTGTCCTGTGATCTAGCATGTAATTTACAAAATTGCCTTGAATACACTGGTTTCAAATAGGTAACTCTTTTTTTCTTTTTTTTTTGAGACAGAGTCTCACTTTGTTGCCTGGGCTACAGTGCCATGGCGTCAGCTTAGCTCACAGCAACCTCAAACTCCTGGGCTCAACCGATCTTCCTGCCTCAGCTTCCTGAGTAGCTGGGACTACAGGCATGCGCCAACATGGCCGGCTAATTTTTTCTATATATTTTTAGTTGGCCAATTAATTTATTTCTATTTTTAGTAGAGATGGGGTCTCACTCTTGCTCAGGCTGGTTTCGAACTCCTGACCTCAAGCAATCCGCCCGCCTCAGCCTCCCAGAGTGCTAGGATTACAGGCGTGAGCCACCATACCCGGCTGGTAACTCTTGTTTTCTAAAATAACAACTCCATACGGGCAAGAACACTCTTGTCCTTTCAGATCATCTGCAGCACCTCGTACCTATCTAGCCTTAGGGACCAGGGCATGACATATCTGCTCGCCTCTGGGAGCATGTATGGACTGGGCTTACCAGGTGTTCTGTCCCCAGCATCAGTGCTAAAGCTCTTCCAACATCTTTCTGCCTCACATCTGTCCGGGGCCTGAGCTCCCAGCACAGAGGTCTGTGGACTGCACACTGGTGACTTCTCTGACGTCTGTAACGCCCCTGTCTTCTTCTTACTTCCCAGAAATATACCTTGCTCCCCATGCCCACCACCAGACAAAATAAGCCACGTTGGGTGTCTTCCAGGTGGCATCCTGTCGTACCACGCAGGGCCAGCAGGGGGCGGGAACGCGCCAGCTGCATCCGCGCCAAGCGGGCTTGGGCAGAGCGGGCGGGAAAGCCTACCTTAGACAGCCGTTCCTCGTAATCTGGACTCCCCCGCTGCCCCCGCAGGCTGGGGGGTACAAACCAGAAACACACGTTGACAAACTCGGGCTGAGAAGAATGAGGAGGGGAAAGCATGAGCTGAGGAACGGGGCCGGATTCCCCTCTCCCTGCCAAACCGAGAGCTGCAAAGGAGCAGGGGCTCGCACCTCCAAGACCAGCTCGAACCCTTCCCGCTTCTTCATTTCCTCCACCAAGTACCTGCGAACAGACAGTGAGAAATCACAGATGAAGAGGAAAGGCACAGAAAAGCAGGCCACAGAGAATGAGCCAGAGAGACACCGAGAGAAAGGCAGCCCTGAGAGCAGGCAGAGGGATGGGGAGAGGGGCCCTGGGACCCCCACCCAAGCCTACCGGGCAAGGGCAAAGGTCCGGTCCACGCGCTGCTCCAGCCCTTGCCCGCCCTGCGCCTTCCACATGACCCACAGCTTCAGACAGTCCACGCGGCGGCCACACTGCACCACCTTGTCTCCCGTGTCCAGAGCCACATCGTAGAACTTGTCCTGCTGGAAAAGGTAGCTGGCCTGGGCCCCGTGGCAGCGCTTGAGCAGGTTCTGTGCAGGGTGAGGAGACCGTCAGACCCTAGCCTCTGCACCAGGCTCTGCTCCAGGGCGGTGCTGGGGGTTCTTCCCTCAGCCCCCACAACGGGTGGAGGCATTGCTAGGATGGCAGCCAGCTGACTCAGACCCTTCACTACGTTTTCTCCCAACAGGCAAGGTTCTTCCTAAACTCTGCCCAGGATCCCTCTGACAGCAGCTTTAAGCTGGAAACTTTCCCCTTTGCATAATGACAGGCCAGGCCCTGGGGAAGTGAGGGAGCCCAATACAGCTTAGGGTGGTGGCTGATACTCAGCTTCAGACGGGATGGTAAAGAGAACACAGTAAGGCCTGGACCCTCCAAGGTGGCACAGAGAAGAAGATGGAGCTCCAGGGAGATAGATGGGGCCAGGGCAGGGGCAGGGCCAAGGGCAGGGGTGGACCCACCGAGGTGTCCCGGAGAAGCAGCGCACAACACTGCAGGCCTGCTGCAAGGAGCTTGTGGGGATTCCAGGCCACAGAGTCAGCCCTGAGTGGGGTGAAGCAAAGCCAGGTCAGTGGCTCCTCCTCAAGCTGCCCAACCAGAGACCCTCCTCCAGTAAAGGGGCTTTGGTCTCAACCCCACCCCAGTAGTCAGGAAGAATTCCCATGTCTGACCTTCCAGCCCTAACCAAGCATTCTCCAGTCTCCTTCCCACCAACCTCCTTTCCCCAGTACCAACCTAAGCCGCCCAGACCACGACTATTCTCTGGATCAAGGATTTCAAAGGCAAGATTTGGGAAGAAGGGGGCCGTATGCACCTCTGGATCCCATCCAGGAGATGCCTGTGTGTCTGTGACAGCAGGACGCTCCCACCCCAGGCAGCCTGTGGAGCAAGAGGAACAACGTGGGCCTTGGCTTCAGCTCGGCCCACCCCACCCCACCCACCCCAGGCCCAAGTCCCACTCACATCCACATGCAGCCATAGCCCGTGACGTTGGCACACGTTGGCAATTGCCTCCAGTGGGTCAAAGGCCCCCAGCACGGTGGTGCCAGCGGTGGCACTGACCAGGAATGGCACAGCGCCCTGTTGCAAGAATGTAGAGGGAAAAAGAAGCTGTAGAGTTATCTCAAAGCTACCCAGAGCCTGGTGCTGGGCCCAGCTCTAAGCTCTTTGCATGCTTGACCTGGTCCATTTCAACTGTACAACAACGTGTTACCGTCCTCTTTAATTTGCAGGCAAGGACACTGAGACTCAGAGATCCAAGCAGAAGCTCCAGAGATGAACTTCAAACCTAGGTCTGTCTGATTACTTATTTCCAAAGCTCATATTCTCAAAAAATTTTAATGTCTTACTGGAAGATCAAAATGCTATGACAAAAATTCAAATAGTGTGAAAGTTTATGCAGAAATTCAGTTAGTAATCAAAAACTACCACAAAGAAAAGCCCAACCCCAAATGTCTTCACTGATGAATTCCAGCAAACATTTAAAGAAAAATTTATACCAGTCCATGAACTCTTCCATAAAAAAGAATATAAAAAAACCAACTGTATACATTAGCAACGAACAATCTAAAAATGAAATTAAAAAAACAATTTCACTTACAAGAACATCAAAAAGAATAAAATACTTACGAATCACTTTAACAAAAGAAGTGTAAAATATATATTCTGAAAACCACAAAACATTGTGGAAAGAAAATAAAGACCTAAGTAAATGAAAAAACATTTCATGTTCATGGATGAACACAATCCCTATCAAAATCCCAGTTGGCTTCTTTGCAGAAATTGATATGCTGATCCTAAATTCATACGGAAATTCAAGAAACCCAGAATAGCCAAAAGCATCTTGAAGAAAAGTTAGAGGACTTAAACTTCCCAATTTCAAAACTTACTATAAAGTTACAGTAATCAAGACAATGTAGTCTATAGCTGCGGTCTCCAACGCCCAGGCTGTTAACCAATACCATTCCTTGGCCTGTTAGGAACTGGGCCGCATAGCAGGAGGTGAGCATTGGTGGTTGTGTCAGCAAAACTTCATCTGTATTTACAGCTGTTCTCCATCACTCACATCACTGCATAAGCTCCACCTCCCGTCAGATCAATGGTGGCATTAGATTCTCACAGGAGTGCGAACCCTACTGTAAATTTTGCATGCAAGGGATCTAGGTTGTACGCTCCTTAAGAGAATCTAATGCCTAATGATCTGAGGTGGAGCTGAGGCAGTGATGCTAGTGCTGGGGAGCACCTGCAAATACAGATTATTCCTAAAGACAGAAAGTAGAATGTTGGTTGACAGGGACTGGGCGAGGGGGTAATGAGGAGTTGTTGTTTAATGAGTATAGTTTCAGTTTTACAAGACGGAGAGCTCTGGACACTGATTTCACAACAACGTGAATGTGCTTAACACTACTGAACTATGCATATAAAAATGGTTAATATGGTAAATTTTATGTTACACACACACAAAAAAAAAGAACTAGCAGTAGATTCTCAACAGGGACCCCACTGGCATGTTGGGTGGTACAGCTCTTGTTCATGCAGAGCTATCCCTACACATGGCAGAATGTTTCGCATCCCTGGTTCCCTCTCAATAAAGGCAGTAATGCCCTCTGGTTATTGTCACAAAACAAAGCAAAATAAAATAGCTCGACACACTTCCAAATGACCCCTCAATGACTGGAAGAGTCAGGGTAGGGTGGACAATACCACCGGTCCCAAGCAAGTACCCTTGGATGAGAAAGGCTACAGGTGGAGTAGAAACCCCATATGCAAAGGGAGGAAGCTGTCTAACCTCCACATCTTCAATTTCAGAAACATCCACGGCCTCTACACAAACTTAGAATGTGCTTATCCACCCATATGCCCACCACTTGGTCAATTCCTTTTCTCTGTTCAAATCTCAGCTCAACCATCACTTCTAAGGGAAGCCTTCCTTGACACTTTCACCTTTTGAGTAGGTCAATTTTCCTGTATTACCCTCAGCAACCTAGTGTCCCCACACCTCAGGCTCCCCGTAGTTGCTTCAGCCCACAGGGGAGATAGATGGGCCTGGAGCTCACAGCACACAGGCATGTTGGTTTTTTTTGTTTTTTTTTGTTTTCGAGACAGAGTCTCGCTTGTTGCCCAGGCTAGAGTGAGTGCTGTGGCGTCAGCCTAGCTCACAGCAACCTCAACTCCTGGCTCAAGCAATCCTGCTGCCTCAGCCTCCCAAGTAGCTGGGACTACAGGCATGCGCCACCATGCCCGGCTAATTTTATATATATATTAGTTGGCCATTAATTTCTTTCTATTTATAGTAGAGACGGGGTCTGGCTCTTGCTCAGGCTGGTTTCGAACTCCTGACCTCGAGCAATCCACCTACCTCAGCCTCCCAGAGTGCTAGGATTACAGGCGTGAGCCACTGCGCCCGGCTAGTTGTTTTACATATAGTTATGAATATCAGTCTCCCTTACTGGAATAAAAACTCTATGAGGGGAAAAAATGGGCAAAAGATCTGAATAGACATTTCTCCAAAGAAAATATACAAGTGGCCAATAAACAGATGACAAGATGCTCAGCATCATTAATCATCAGGGAAATGCAAATCAAAACCTCAATAAGATACTATGTCATACCCACTAAGTGGCTATAATGAAAAAAAGATAACAGGTGCTAGTAAGTATGTGGAGAAATTGAGAACCTCATACACTGCTGGTGGGATTGTAAACTGATGAGGCCACTATGGAAAACAGTTACAGCTCCTCAAAAGGTTAAATACAGGCTGGGCGCAGTGGCTCATGCCTGTAATCCTAGCACTCTGGGAGGCTAAGGCAGGAGGACTGCTTGAGGCTAGGAGTTTGAGACCAGCCTGAGCAAGAGTGAAACCCCCATCTCTAAAAAAAAAAAGAAAAATTAGCTGGTCATGGTAGCATGCACCTGTCATCCCAGCTACTCAGGAGGCTGAGGCAAGAGGATCACTTGAGCCCAGGAGTTGGAGATTGCAGTGAGCTATGATGATGCCACTGCACTCTAAATCAGGTGACAGAGCAAAACCCTGTCTCAAAAAAAAAAAAGGAATGCAGAGTTACCATATGACCCAGCAATTCCACTCCTAGGTATATAGCCAAGAGAAATTAAAAATATGTGTTAACACAAAAACCTGTACACAAATGTTTATAGCAGAATTATTCACAATAGACTGGGCGTGGTGGTTCACACCTATAATTCTAACACTCTAGGAGGCCGAGGCAGGAGGATTGCTCAAGGTCAGGAGTTTGAAACCAGTGTGAGCAAGAGTAAGACCCCATCTTTACTAAAAAGAGAAAGAAATTAATTGGCCAACTAAAAACATATTAAAAAAAATTAGCTGGGCATGGCGATACATGCCTATAGTCTCAGCTACTCAGGAGGCTGAGGCAGAAGGATTGCTTGAGCCCAGGAGTGAGGTTGCTGTGAGCTAGGCTGACTCCACAGCACTCTAGCCCGGGCAACAGAGTGAGACTCTGTCTCAAAATAATAATAATTATTCATAATAGCCAAAAAATTGAAATACCCCAAATGTCCATTAGCTGATGAGTGGATAAATAAATGTGGTGTATCCATGTAATGGAATATTATTTGCCATATAAAAGAATGAAGTACTGGTACATGCCACAACTTAGATGAACTTGAAGATATGCTTAGTAAAAGAAGCTCATTCCAAAAGACCATGTATAGGACGATTCCAGAGTTCAGAATAGGTAGATCCATAGACATTAAGTAGATTACTGGTTGTCTAGAACTGGGAGGTTTGGGGGAATTCAAAAATGATGGCTAAAGGGTATGGGGTTTCTTTTTTGAGGTGATGAAAATGTTCCAATATTGATTGTAGTGATAGTTACACAATTCTGTAAATATGCTAAAAACTACGAAACTATACACTTTAAGTGGGTGAATTATATGTTATGTAAATTATCGCAATAAAGCTATTACCAAAAAAAGTTTATAAAATAAAAGGCAAAACTCCGTTATTCTAATTGCTGCTCGTACTGCTACCCAGAGGTAACATCCATATATCAATAAATATATATTATTCTAATAACAAAAATAGGTTTATAATGTCCAGTCTACACTGCAACTTGCAAACATATACTTAGTATATATAGTGGAAGTATTTTCATGTTAGTATATATATTCTTACCGTATTATTTTAAATGGCTATGTAGTACTCTAACAATAATAATGAATAACAACAAAACCAGCAACTGTGCTAATATTTATATAGTACATCTATGTGCCTGGCACTGTTCTAACAGCTTTACCTATACTAATTCATTTAATCCTTACAACAACCCTATGTGGCAAGTTCTATATTATGCCCATTTTACAGAGGAAGAAACAGACACACAGATATAGGATAACTTATTTTATCTACTGATAAACATTTAAAATTTTTAAAAATATTACACTTTGTTCCAGGAAATGTTCTCATGCAGAGTTCTATGCGCTTGTGATCATGGTTTATAGTTCAAATTCTTAGCAGTGGAACTCTGAAGCGGTAGATACATACATGTAAAAACTGCACAGATGGTGCCCTCCCAGACAGCTGCAGTAGTCACACGCCCCTTGGGGCAGGGGCGCTAGCGCCCCACATCCCGAAGCTCGGGCCACAGCCTTTACCACCACCCACTCGTCTTCCTCAGCTTCCCCTGCATAGACCCTCCCAGGCCACAGAAACCTTCCACGCAGCGCTCCAGGCCCCCAGATCCTCGCTGTGGGGCTGCCTGGGGGTCCCTCAGTGGCTCAGTCCTGCCCCTCAGAATCAGGCACAGGCCCCGAGAACAGCCTAGTGTCCTGGCCCTCAGGCTCCCGCAGCTGCTTCAGCCCACAGGGGAGATGGGCACGGAGCTCAGGGGAGGCATAAAGGGTGCCTCGAGCAGGACGCACCCAAGCAAGCCTCCAGAAGGGGACAGAGGGGCCCTGCCCCACCACCCCAGGGCCCCTCACTCACTCACCTCAGCCTCGGCCATAATGATCTGCTGCTCCAGATCCTCAGGGACCATTCTCCCTCTGAAAAAGAAAACCAAGTGGGAAGAGAAGTGAGAGGTTTCCTAGGCCAGGAGGGTTGAAAGGCCTGTGGAACGCAGGGAAGGTGGGGTTGGCAATGCAGAGGGCACATGCTGGTTTTTCCCTAAGTCGGGGGAGCGGGCTTTCCGGGCCTGGGGCAGGAGACTCTGGCAGGCGCTGGTGGACGGAGAAGCAATTCTGCAGGAACAGTGAGGGCAGAGAAGGCCACTGGAGTACGGGCCTGTGGCCAGTGTTTTCTGGCAGCAAGAAGGTACAGTGTAGCAAGCTGGGTCAGGGCCATGGACACAAAAGTATTTTCACCTCTCATCAGCCTTGACCACTCGGACACTGTCAGTGCCAAGTCCCAGAAAGGCAGCTCCCTTTTTGATGGAGTAGTGACACTGTGGAGGAAGGCAGAGGACAGGTTAACACGATTTGGGCTAGTGGTCAGCGGGCAGGAGGATGGGGAGGAGAAAGTCGGGCAAAAGTCAAGTTTGAGCCACAACAGATGGGATCCTGGACCAGGGCTTCTCAATGTCCATGTGCACATGGATCACCTGGGTGTCTGGTTAAAAGGCAGGTTCAGATTCAGTCAGTCTGGGGTGGGGCCTGAGACTGCATTTCTAACAAGCTCCCAGGCCATACCAATGCTGCTGGTCCACAGACCACACCCTGAGCAGAAAGAGCGCGGACTTAGGCCACTGCACTCCTTGCCCCAGCACCTGCCCCCAAGCAGAAGGCAGAGGGAATGGGAGTGTTCACTTGGAAGGGAGCACATCCACCCAGGTTCAGGCTGGCCTCGGAGGAGGACGGGGTAGGGAGGGTAGCAGAAGGGTCCCTGATTTAGCTGCCTAGAGGTAAGGATCAGGTGCCCAGGGTTGGTTCTGTGCCTCCTCCCACCTCCTTTGATGTGAAGAGGGCCAGGGGTGGCAGTGCGCGGAGGCCCCGCTGCTTGCAGTCTGGGAAGCGCTGATAGCGGGCCAGGTTTATAGCATACATGTTGGAGATGGAGCCACCTGTGGCGGGAAGGGCACATGGCAAGAGGAATGGGCACCAGGTCAAGACTAGAGCTCACCTCCCCTGACCTATCCACCAGAAGAACCCATCAAAGAGACAGGTGTGACTGGCTCCCAGGGCATGAATTCCCAGGGCCAGTAGACCCACCTGACTATCCCCCTCCACTTGCTGGGCTGCCCCCAGGGGACAGCCACTACCTGGAGAGAGCACAGGCCAGGGCACCGATCCAGAGACTGCTGGCAAGCATGAAGATAGAGGGGACTGGACGGCCCTTTCTGGTCTGGCCCGGGCCCAGGTGGTGAGGACGCAAAGAGGAATCACCCCTCCCTGCCAGATGCTTAGGGCAAGAGAGTGATGGGGGAGGAGGAACCCTTAAAAAGATCAAAGAGCGGTCCACCTCCTTCTCACGTACCTGGGCAGAAGACCCCATCCCCAGAACTCCAGCCCACCAGGGCCCGGAGTTTCTTCAGCACCTCCTCTTCCATGAGTACAAACACAGGGGCGATTTCGTACGTGTACCTGGCAGAGAGGGAATGATGAGAAAAGGAGAGAGGCAGACAGGGACTGCCAGGGACAGCCCCTAACCAGCAGAGGAGTCAGAGAAAGGAGGTGGTGTGAATGGGCAAAGGAAGGGGTGGAAGAGAAAGACAGATTGGTGACAGAGAACCAGGGAAGCAAGGATGAGAAGAGACTGGGGTCAGGAGGCATGAGAAGGCTTGGAAGACAGCCGGAAGGATACGAGGGAAAATGCTCTGCCAACAGAGGTTCCCAGGAAATGGTCCCCCTAGTGACCCCCCAGTAAACCCAAACCCTCTGTGGGGGGCTGGGATGGCTCACTGGCTGGTGTTGAGGGTCTCGGTGATGATGCGCCCGGCCAGAGCGTGGGCATCCAGGCCCGAGAAGAGCTGGTTGAAGAACCGGGGGTGACCTGGAGAAGGGGAGCAGGGCAAGGTCAGGGTGGAGCTGGGTACAGACTCCAAAGACCCCCCGCCCCCGCCAGGACCCAGGGCACACCGGTCTTGACACTATATCGGATCACAGCCCGGCACCGTTCCAGGATCTGCTCCTGCGACTCCCCCTGGCTCCGCAGCTCCAAATCCAGTAGCTGCTTCAGCTCCTCCGGCTCCTTCCACTCGCAGACCTGGGAGGGGAAGGCACCGTGGACGGGCTGTCCAAACCACGCCTCAATAGACACGAGGCATCGCCAACTTGCACTTAGAACAACTTAGGAATATTTTCAAAGCGAAGATATTCACATGAACAAGGGTAAATAAACGTAGTAAGACCCAGCATGTAAATCCTTGAGGCACCCAGGGGGACGGAGATGAATTCAGGGGAGAAGGCTTACCAAAGGAGGAAAGTTCTAAGCCGAGTTTGGAAAGAGAAAGGGAAGGTTGATGGGCAAGAGGGGGTGGGAGAAAGGACTCACCTTCTCAGAGGCACAGGTCCCTTTCCGAATGGCCTCATCCACGACAATCCCAAACACCTCCTGGAGCAAGGCTTCAGCAGCCATGGAGTTCCCATTCAGGGCGGGGAGTGGTTTTGAGTCAGCCATCAGGATAAAATCTGTGAGCAGAGCAGGAGTCATTTTCTCCTTGGCCCGTGCATCCTACCTGGACTTAACCAACAAACACCTCCATCCAAGCCCTGCAGCTCAGTCCCAGCCACCCAGCGTCTGTGCACAAACATGGGCAAGTGCGAGCATCCAAGCAGAAAGCCAGTGTGAACAGGTGGAAGAGAAAAAGACAGCTAGTGCTAAGCAGGGGGACCCTAGTGGCCACTGCTCACCTAAGGCAAAGACTTTCTGTGCTGGTAGTTCGGGAGAGCTGGGGGCAAGTGACACAATAGCTTCTCAGAAGAGCAGGACCAAGGCGGCAGAGGGAGTGAGGCAAAGCCAGCGAATCTCATGGTCATGATATAACTGTCATGACCCTTGCCCCAAAGACAACACTGACAGACCTGGGATAGGGCCAGCAGGTTGAGATAAGTCCCCTGTATAATCATTAGCTGACAGAAAAGGTGGGGACATGAGATGAAAGGCAAAAGGCATGTGGCAGGGTAGAGGGAAGCAGAGAGCTGGCATGGAAGCGGGTCTCCCACTGCTCACCTCAGAGCCCAGCGAGGGGGTGTGGGAGGGGAGGCAGGGCAGCTTCCTGGACACTGAGGGGGAGGTGAAACAGTTTAGGCTGATCTCTTTTGTTTGCAAGAAGGAAAGGAGGTTATGTTGAGGAAGCATTTTGCTAAACAAGCGCAATCCTGCGCCTTCCAGTCTGGGAGTCCTTGCTTAGCATGAGCACCAATTCTGTGTGTCCACTGGGAGGACCCAGCCCTCCCAGGCTGGATGCTGGCCCTTGGTGTCATCAGAATTCAGAAAGGAGGTGGGTGGGGGCTGAAGGCTGAGGAAGGCCTGCAGTGGAGCCGAATCCCGGGCAGGAGAAATGGGATGGGTGACAGGGAGGAAAAGGAGCATTTGTGTGTGGGGAGGAAAGCCATGAGCTGCAGGGAAATGAGCAGGGCTCCTCCCCAGGCCAGAGAAGGCACCAGCAGGCTGGGGCACAGAGGCAAAGGGAGGCAGGCAGAGCCTCGTGAGGTTGTGGAGAGTCTCGAGTGCCGGCCAGGCCGAGGAATCTAAATTTTATCCTGCACAAAATGGGAAGTCACTGAAAGATTGTTCAGCAAGGAATAATGTGATGAAAATGATGCTCTCAGAAGACAGGTTCATAGCAGCAGGATGCAGAAGAATTAACAGGCTGTTGCAGTAAACCAGGCAAGAGGTGACCCGCACTTGAATAAGGGTGATGCTGGTAGGAACGGACAGATGGAACAGTCCGCCTGCGTGGTCATTCCCTGGATTACACTGAAATCAACACTTAGGGGATCTATGTTAGAGAAGGAAGACTCAAAAATGACCCTGGGCATTTTGAACTTGGGTGACTAGAAAAATAATGGTACCCCTAAAAGAAATAGGAATGCAGAAAGGAAAAGCCGGACAGAAAATAAAATGGTTATTGGATGAGTATAAATACTCATCCAAGTGGAAATCTCCTGGGACTACGGATGCACCCATGGGAGAGGGCCAAGCCCAGAGCTCGGATGAGATACTTGAAGGGAAAGCAGATGTGAGAGGTGGGTACTCCTGAAGCCTGTGATGGGCCCCATCCCCCAAGGAACAGAACACTCAGAGAGATGGATGAAAGGAAGGGGCAAACACCGAGGCCTGGGGACCCCTCAAACGAGGAGCCAAAATGATCAAGAAAATCTGGAAGGGAAGCAACTTTCCTCAAAGGGGGCTACTGATATAATCCACTGTCCACAGCCACTAGATCTCACGCTACAACCACATGCCACACAACAACATTCCAGTCAACAATGGTAGTCCCATGACATTATAAAGGAGCTGAAAAATTCCTATCTCCTAGTCAAGTCTTAGCTGTCATAACAACAGTAGCACAAAATAGCTTTACTCACACATTTGTGGTTATGCTGGTATAAACAAACCTACTGCACTGCCAGTCAGTATAAAAGTATGGCACATACAATTACGTACAATAAACAATACTTGATATGTTACTGGTTTATGTATAAATATTTACTATGCTATATGTTTTATCATTATTTTAGAGTATACTCTTTTTACTTTTTTTTTTTTAAGTTAACTATAAAAGAGCCTCAGGCAGGTCCTTTGGGAGGCAGGTTCCAGAAGAAGACATTGTTATCACAGGAGATGACAGCTCCATGCATGTTACTGCCCCTGAAGACCTTCCAGTGGGACAAGATGTGGAGGCAGAAGACAGCGATATTGATGATCCTGACCCTGTATAGGCCTAGGCTAATGTGTGTTTGTGTCTTACTTTTTACAAATAAGTCTAAAAGGCAAAAAAAAAAAAAAAGTTTAATATAAAAAAGCTTACAGAATAAAAGATATAAAGAAATAAAATATTTTTATATAGCTGTATAATGTATTTGCGTTTTAAGCTAAATGTTAAAAGAGTAAAAAAGTTTTTAAAAGTTTGTAAGTGGTTAGGCGTGGTGGCTCACTCCTGTAATCCTAGCACTCTGGGAGGCCGAGGTGGGCGGATTGCTCAAGGTCAGGAGTTCAAAACCAGCCTGAGCAAGAGCGAGACCCCGTCTCTACTATAAATGAAATAATTAATTGGCCAACTAAATAATACATATATATAAATAAAATAGCCGGGCAGGAATGGCGCATGCCTGAGTACCAGCTACTGGGAGCTGAGGCAGGAGGATCGCTTGAGCCAGATTTTGATTCTGTAGCAGCTAACACCACGGCACCTCACTCTACCTGGGCAACAAAGTGAGGACTCTGTCCAAAAAAAAAAAAAAAAAGTTTACAACAAGTTTGGTTTATTACAGAAGGAGGAAAAAATTTTAAATACATTTAGTGTAATCTAAATGTATGGCGTTTATAAAGTGTACAACAACGTCCTAGGCCTTCATGTTCACTCACTGACTCACCCAGAGCAACTTCCAGTTCTGCATGTAAGTGCCCTATGAAGGTGTACCATTTTTTATCTTTATACCATATTTTTACTATACCTTTTCTATGTTTAGACATGCTTAGATACACAAATACTTTGTGTTACAATTGCCTACAGTATTCAGTACAGTCCATGCTGTACGGGTTTGTAGCCTAGGAGCAACAGCCATACCGTATAGCCTAGGTGTGTGGTAGGTTATACCATCGAGGTTTGTGTAAGAACACTCTATGAGGTTTGCACAACCAGAAAACTGCCTAACGATGTGTTTCTCAGAACATGTCCCCATCTTTAAGAGATACATCACTGTAGTTGAAAACATAGGTCCAAGGATCTTTGGTGGTCCTACCCTTACATTTTCCTGGGTGGATTGAGTTTGGGAAAAACAGGAGAGCTAACCCAGGCCTCGGTCCTTCATCAGCACTCCTTCCAGCTTCCCTGGTGGGTGGCAGCAGTTGAAATCAAGAGGCTTGAAGGAGGACAGAGGTTAACAAAAATAGGTACCATTTAGGTACTTACCATATACCACCCTCTGTACTTAATGAGCATTATTCTAATTTGCATTGCCATTTAGGATAAATTTATCATCTGCATTTAGAAATAAGAAAACTGAGTTTCAGAGACACTATGTACCATGTCCTGGTCACACAGCCGGCACATGGCTGAGCTGGGTTCAGACACAGTGTGTTGGGCTCTGAAGCCCTAACTATGGTGCTCCATTGCCTCATGCACGGCTCTCCTGGGCACAGAGTTCACTGTAGTGGAAAAACCACTGGGCCAGGAGACCTGAGGGGCCCTTAGGGCCCCAGTTTCTAGAAAATAAAAGACAGAATCTCTAAGGCGCGTGCAGGTGTTCATAGAAAGTCTGCAGGCAACAAGGATGTCAATTGCTCTAGTAACTGAGCTCAGGCCATTGGATTTCACAAGCAGGCCGGGGAAGACCTTCCTGTCAGAGTTGGGGGCCGAGGCACGGGGATAGGGTGCAAGGTATTAAAGAGGGAATGGCTGGTGAAGCAAGAGACTCTCACTGGAGAGAGGCTTCCCCCGAGGCTCTGAACAGAAGGTCTGCAAGGGAAACTTTAGCTCAGTCCACTGGCACCTTCTTTATCCATGCACCTCAGCTACTGCTCAGAAATGAAACCCGGAGGTGGGTGCTCTGAACACTGAACACTCCCAGTTTCCTCCTGGAGAAAACGGGGAGGTGAGACATCACTATCTTCATTCCTCACATGGAATCCTGTCCCGGGAAGAGCCCCTGCCCGCAAAGAGTCTTTCTTTCTTTTTTCATTTTAGAGATGGAGTCTTGCTATGTTGCTCAGGCTGAACTCAAACTCCTGGACTCAAGTCATCCTCCTGCCTCAGCCTCCCGAGTAGCTGAGACTACAGGCATGTGCACCACTGCACCCAGCTTTGCAGAAAGCCTTTCCTTTTTTTTTTTTAAACTGGTGTATGGGCTGCCTCCGAGAGCCTTTCTTTTTAAAAGCAAGGACGCTAACCCACAAGATGGAAAACTAAGCAAAAAAACAGGAATAATAGAGTTAGGAACAGCATTCTAGCCCCTGTTTGAGAGGATGCTGGTAGGACCAAGTAGGGTTTATCTGAAAAATCCCCATGTTGGATTAATAAAATGTGGTATATGTATACCATGGAGTACTACTCAGCTTTAAGAAACAATGGTGATATAGCACCTCTTGTATATTCCTGGATACAGCTGGAACCCATTCTGCTAAGTGAAGTATCTCAAGAATGGAAAAACAAGCACCACATGTACTCACCAGCAAATTGGTATTAACCGTCAACACTTAAGTGGACATATAGGAGTAATATTTATCAGGTGTCGGGAGGGTGGGGGGAGGGGATGGGTACATACAACCACAATGAGTAAGATGTGCAACGTTTGGGGGATGGACACACTTGAAGCTCTTAACTCAATGAGGGAGGCGGATATGGGCAATATATGTAACCTTAACACTTGTACCCCCATAATACGCTAAAATAAAAATAAATTAATTAATTTAAAAAAATCCCCATGTTTTTTCTGACTTCATGGGATCTGTAGTCTATAAATTC